TCTTGCTCAGAGCTCCATCTGCTCCAAGTTCCATGTAGCTCGGAGCTTCAATCACTCCAAGCTCCATCTTGCCCTGAGCACCATCTGCTCTGAGATCCAACCACTCCAGGCTCCATCTTACTCTGAGAACCATCTGTTCTGAGCTCCATCTGCTCAGAGCTCCAATCACTGTGAGCTCCATTCACTGCAAGCTCCATCTTGCTCTTAGCACCATCTGCTCTGAGCTCCACCTTGCTCAGAACACCAATCACTCCAAACTCCATCTTGCTCTGAGCACCGTCTGCTCTAAGCTCCATTTTGCTCTGAGACCATACGCTTGGAGCTCCATCATTTACTCTGTGCAACATCTGCTCCAAGATTCATATTGCTTGGAGCAACATCTCACCTGGGGCTCAATCTGCTCTGAGCTCCATCATGCTTGGAGCTCCATCTTGCTCAGAGGTCCATCTTGCTCTGAGCACAATCTGCTCCATGTATGTTTTCTGCAGCACAATTCACAATAGGAAAGACATGTAACCAACTCATATGCTCATAAGCGGTAGATTGGATAAAGAAAATGTGCTACATATACACCATGGAATACTATGCTGCCATAAAAGGGTATGAGATCACATCCTCTGCAGGGACATGGATGAAGCTGAAAGTCATCATCCTCAGCAAACTAACACAGAAATAGAAAACCAAACATTACATGTTCTCACTCATAAGTGGGAGCTGAACAATGAGACCACATTTTAATATTATTATATCCTCTGTAGATGGTCTCTGTTCCTCTTAACAAAAGATATGTATACACTGTAATTTTTTTCTCTCTAAAGGACTGTGGCTTCTCCTCTCTGTGCCAGCTTAGGGTTCAGGTTAACTACCCTACCTTGTAATGACCCACTCCATGTCCACATGTGGTTGGTCTCTTCTGTGATAAGATCATTCACTGGATTGAGACACACTAAATACTACAGACAAATATGACATATGGATATAAGAGTAAAAGTTATAAATATTAGAAGGCATTGTATCAACATATGAGGAACTTATGTGTGGATGAAAGCCCTCTGTTGATAAATGTCTTTGTTATTTCTATTATTTAATTAACATTTATCCCTATTGAATTATTCTACACTGATAAACCACCCGACTGGCACTGTGTTCATAACATTGTTAATAACAGTAAAAGTAGGTATTCTTTTAGAAAATCAAGATTGAAAACTAAAAAAAAAAAGAAAAGAAAAACACACACAAGAAAACAAAACAAAACTTACACCAACCCTCTCCATCCATTAGTGGCATAGGCGCAGAAAGATAACCAAATGGACCAAATGAGGGAGCCAAATAATCAGACCAAAACACATAGCATAAACACATTTTTCAGAAACACACCAAAGGCCCCAAGTTCAGAAACCTGGGTATTCATGTGCAGGGGACTGAAAAAGACCCCTATGTTGCACAAGACACAAACAGCAACAGAAAATGAACACCTAAGTCTAACCCTGAAACCAGAAAAGCTCCCAAGAAAAAATATAGGGTGACTATTTTGAGGAAATTTGAATCTGCATACACCATTTGCCAAAAGAAAAACTTATTGAGATTATACCCATAAATAATACAATGCCTTTGCCATCTCTCTCATTTTATCTCCCAATGGGACACAGAAATCACTGCTAACAAAAGCAAATGTAAACATGTTAGACAAAGGACAACTTTAAAATTTCTCAAGGAGAAAACAATGAACCCAAAGAACAGGTATACTACAGATTGGGATAAAATTATGGAAAATCATGTATCTGAAAGGAACTGTTATCTAACAGATGCAAGAAACTAAAGGTACTAAGTGGGCAAAAAGATAAAACAACTAAAACCTGTATGTATCCAAACAGGCGACCCAAATACCCATTAAATGACAGACTTGATATAGAAAATATGACACATATACACCATGGAATACTAAGTAGCCATAAAAAAGGATGAGTTCATGTCCTTTGCAGGGACATAGATGAAGCTGGAAACCATCATTCTCAGCAAACTAACACAAGAACAGAAAACCAAATATTGCATGTTCTCACGCATAAGTAGGGGTTGAACAATGAGAACACATGGACACAGTGGTGGGGGCAGGGAACATCACACACCAGGGCCTGTCAGGGGTTGGGGGTGTTAGGGGAGGCTTAGCAGGGGGGGGGGGGATTGGGGAGGGCTAACAGGAGAAATACCTAATGTAGATGATGGGTGGGGGATGGATGCAGCAATCCACCATGGCACAGGTATACCTATGTAACAAACCTGTGCATTTTGCGCATATACCCCAGAACTGAAAGTATAATTTTAAAAAAGGCTACCCAATGGATAGATTGAGGGAGTCCCATATGTCACCCAAATGTACATACAGTGAACACATTTTTCAAAAGAACACAAAGACACAATGGGAAAAATCTATTCAATAAAAGATGTTGACCAAATTACGTAACTACACGAAAACAATGAAATAGGACAAAAATCAACGTAAACCAAATTGAAGACCTAAACACAATCCTGAAACCACTTACTTCCCTTAGGAAAATAGGGCGAGTGTATACTTTAGAAGACTAATCTATGCATGCAAGATGCAAAGTGTAAAATATAAAAATAAGAAAAAAATATTTGAAGAAAAAGAACCACAGGCAATATCATGGGTTGGCAATCTTTTTCACTATTTTAAACTGCACACAGAAGTCACCACTAATATATAAACATGTGGGACTATGGAAAACACTGGATCTTATGCAGGGAAATTAAAACAATGGACCAGAAGACAAGGCACCTCACAGACTGAAATAAAACTATGGAAAATCCTATTTTTGAAAGGAGTCATTATAAAATATGTGCAAGAAACTAACACTACCATGTGGGGAAAAAACAGAAAAAGAAACAAAAACAAATATTGCAAGCTAAGTTTGGGCAAAGGACCTGAATAGACATGTCTGAAAAGCAGATGTGAAATTAATGCACAGGTAAAAGAAAAGTTTCTTAAAAGCCCTAATCCTCACGAGAAAGTCAAGAAAAACCACACTGAGATACAACCTCCAACCACATAGAATGAATGTTACCTAAAACAAAAATAAGAGTTTGAAATGAAAACAGCTGGTATAGACTTGCAGAAGTGGAAAATCTTCTCATACCCTATAGGTGGGAATGTCAATTTGTACACACACTAGGAAAAACAACTAGAAATTTCTCAAACAAAGTAAAAATACCATTTCATCTAGCCATCCCACCACTGGCTGCACATTTGCAGCCAAGGAAATTCCTATGTGGAAGAGATACCTGCCTTACCCTGTGTACTGCAGTACTCACAAAAGCCAAGATAGGAAAGACACCTACCTGTTCATCCATTGATTAAGGAATAAGGAAACTGCAACATACATCCAGAATGGAATAGTCTTCAACTACAGAAATGCGTGAAATCTAGTCATTTGCAGCCACGTAGAAAAACCTGAGGGACATTATGTTAAATAAAATGAGTCAAGCACAGAAAGGCATATACAGCATGAACTCATGAATATGGAATCTAAAACACTTGGCCTCATGGCAGTAGAAAGTTCAACAGTGGTTACCAGAGGCTGTGAGGAGGAGGGAGCCTGGTCAGGGATTGGTGATTGGTACCAAGCTACACTTAGAAAACTGAGATCGATCCTGCCCTTCTTTTCTATAGCAGGGTGACTAGGGTTAATATTGTAGTGTATTTTTCAGAGTTGGTAAGGATTCTGAATATCCTCTCCACAGACAAATAATACCTAGAGAACATCACAGATGGTAAATATTGTGATTTGAACAATAGACTAGGTGCACCTATATCAAAATGTCCCCCGAATCCTCTAGTTACATACATATTCTTTATGTAATCTCTTTAAAAAACAAAACAAAACAAAAAAGGATGTCAATGATACTAAAATTCACACGGAACCATGAAACACCCTGAATATTGAAAGAAATCCTGGAAATAGAAAGTACATGGGATGCATCACTGTCCTCCATTTGAAATTATATTGAAAAGCTATTATCTAAACAATAGATGACTGGCACTAAACAAGAAACGCAGACCAACAGACAGAAAAGGGGAGCTCAATCAGAAACCCAAACTCCTACATAGAGTACACATTTTGTAAAAGAACACCAAAAGACACAGAAAAGAAGGGGGAATCTGTTTAATAAATTGTTTTGAAAATTGGATATCCCTATGGAAAATAAAATAGAACCCCTATTGTGTAAAAGGTACAACAATAAACTCAAAATGAATTAGCAACTCATATAAAAAACTTGAAAGCATCAAGCACCTCCAATGACAAGACATATGGTGTGGGTATATTTAGGTCAATGTGGATCTGTGCTCACAGTGTGCCAAAACAAAACAAAAAAATACAGGGGGAAAAATCATAAGTGATGGATTAGTTTTGTCATGATTTTGTTTTTCTTCATCAGTAACCTACATCACAGGGAACCAAGAAAACAGACACACGTGGGACAGCATGACACTCTAGAGTTTGTGCCCAAGCAGTTAAAAAAAAAATCCATGAATAAAATAAAAAATTATCCTGAAGTTTACAAGAAAGGTTTAGGCAAACATACATCTGCTAAAAGGCTGCATTCAAAATGTCTAAGCAATAAACAGTACTTACTAGCAAAAAACACAAGAGAAACTAATAACCAAAAAAAATGGGGCAAAAGAACCTGAATAGACATTTCTGCAAAGAAGACATAACACTGAAAACAAATTTTAAAAACCTGGATAACATCACAAATCATGAGAAAAATGTAAATCAAAACAACACACATCATCTCACTATAATTCAAACGGATGTTATGAAAACAATAAAATACATTAAAAGAGACACAAATGCTGGTGTAAATTTCCACAGAGGAATTCATTTAGTAAGAATGTCAATTAGCAGACATAGTACAGAAACCAGTGGAAGGTTCCTCCAAAAATTAAACCTACAACTACCACTTCATCTAACAATTCTACTACTAAGTATACTTCCGGTACAGAAGAAATCAGCCCATGCAAGAGATATCTACTATCCTATATGGACTACAGCACTCTTCACAATTGCCAACATAAAGAATAAACTTACCTGCCCATCCACAGATGAAGGGATAAAGTAACTGTGGTAGATGTACACAAATAAAATAGTCTTCAGCCAGAAAAACAGAATGAAATTTCATCATTTGGAGCCATACTGTTAAACCTGGAGGACATCATGGTATATGACCTATGCCAGGCAGAGAAAAAAAGAAAACACTGCCACACCTCATTAATGTAGCATTCAAAATAAAAGGCTTTAGTGCACAGGTTTAGAAAGCACAATAGTGGTTACCAGAGGCTGGAGGGAAGAGGGAACATGGACAGGGATCAGAAACAGGTAGAAAGTTACACTTAGAGGAATGAATTTTTCCTCTGTGTTCCACAGCACAGTGACTAGTGGTTAACACATCACAACTTTTTCACAAAATCTGGAAGATTCCAAATATTTTCACCACAAAGAAATTAACAACTGTTTGTGATAATAGAGACTCTAAATATTCTGATTTTGTAATTCTTCTGTGCTACACTAACCAAAATGCCCCACTCTAATTCCCCCCATTGTATATATTTACCATATGGCTAACCTTTTAAAAAGTACATAAATATGCAACGCTGAAATTAATATGGACCACGAAACACCCAGAATTTCCAAAGCAATCCCAAGAAATCCAAACTACATGGGTTGTGCCACACTTACCGATTTTAAATTTCATTGAAAAGCTAGGAATCCCATTCCACACAAAGCAGTGGAATAGATGACACAAGCCAGAAGTAAACCCACACCCCAACACCATCTGATATTCAACAAAATCCACAAAAAATAACCTAAGAAGTAAGGACTCCCTCCTCTCAATAGATGGTACTGGGATAAATGGCTAGACAGTTGCAGAAGAAAAACAGTTGGCCCTTCCTGTGTCTCACGGTGTATAGAAATAAACATAAAATGAATCAAAAATGTAAATGCAAGATGTCAAACTATGAAAAGCATGCAAGAGGATCTAGGAAATACCCTTCTTGACAGAGGATTTGGCACAGCATGGATATGCCTAAGTCTCCAAAAGCAAATGCAACTACAATTATTGACAAGTATGACCTAAGACACAAAAGAACTGCTGCCCAGCAGCAGAAATTACCCACAGGATAAACAGCCTACACAATGGGAGAAATGCTTCCACATATGCATCTGATGAAGTCTAATATCGAGCATCTACTACAAAGACATTAAGCAAATAAATCAGCAAATTAGATCCTGGATGAAGTCTATTATCCAGGATCTACCTTAAAGACGTTAAGCAAATAAATCAGCAAAACAAAAACCCAATGAAGAAAGGGCAAGGGGCATGAAAATACGCAACTCAAAAGGCGGCTTACAGCAACAAGCAGACATGACAATACTTCTCTACCACAGTTATCACCAAAGAAATGCAAAGCAAAAGGCCCATGAGATAGTATTTCACACTGGTCAGAATGATGATTATGACACAGTCCACAAGAATGAATGCCATCAAGGCAGAGGAGGAGAGGGATGCTGGTCTGCTGTTGGTGGAAATGCAAACTAGTTCAGACACCATGGTAAACAATGTGGGGATTTCTCAAGTAACTTTCTTGACATCACTAATCTCACAAAAATGTCCATGAAAACCATACTAAGATGCTGCCTCATTCCACTCAGAATGAATACTACCAAAAACAAAACACAAATTTTTGAAGGCACCAGCCAGTGTAGACTTACAGAAGGGTAACCTCTTAAATACTATTGGTGGGGATATAAATTAGTATACATACTATGAAAAACAGCTAAAGCTTCCTGAAAAAATTCACAGTACAACTACCATATCAGCTAGCAGCCCCACCACATTTAAAGCAGTTGAAATCCCTAGTTTGAAGACAACTATCTGCCTTTCCATGGGTACTGAAGCACTCCTAACTGTGGTCAAGGTACAGAACCAACCTACCTGTCCACACAGATGCGGGGATGAAGAAACTGCCATACAGATACACCACGGAGTATGTTTCAGCCATAAATCTTTGGGAAATCCTGCCATCTGCAGCCACATGTAGAAACCTGGAGAACATCAGGTCCAATGAATGAGCCTGGTAGAGAAAGTCTCATGCCACATATCTCAGGCATGTAGACTAAAAAAACTTTATCTCCTAGAAGTAGAAATTTCAATAGGCATTACCAGAGGCTGCTCAGGAGATGGAGGGGGTCTTGGAAGGAATCAGTAATGGGTACAAAGTTACTCTCAGATGAGACTAATGAATTCTGGTCTTCTATTCTATTCACTAGGGTGACTAGTCTTAACACAAATGTATCATATGTTTCAAAGTAGCTGGAAGGAAAGATTCTGAATGTTATTACCATACAATATATATATATACATGTAAGGTGAAGAGATGCTAAATAACCAGATTTGATGATTAATCAACATATACGTGTATCAAAATCTTCCTTGTACCTTCTAATTATATACATTTAGTGTATGGCAAATAGTGTTTTAAGAAATATTAAGAAACAATGCTAAAATTTATGTGGAAATGTGAAATACTCTGAATTTCCAAAGCTATCCTGAGAAGTACAAACCATGTGGGATGAATCACTTTCCCTTAGTTCCAATTAAACGAAAATCCCTAGTTAACCAACCCATATGTTGCCAGCATACACACAGAAACACAGACCAGTGAGCAAAATGAGGGCATAATAAACACAAATAACATTGTGTACACAATAATAAACACACATTTATACAGAGTAAACATTTTTCAAAACATCATCAAAATAACACAATAGGGAAGTTTTGAAAACTAGAGATCCACATGCTAAAGAATACTATAGGACTCTTATGGTATTAACTGCACAATAATCAACTCAAAAAGATTAAAAGATTCTACACAAAACTTGCAACCATAAAGCTCCTATAAAGACAACCTCAGGTATGGGTATATTCAGGGCAACTTGGATGTATGCTCATGGTTTACAAAAAGTAACAAAAATACAAGGGAAAAAAAATCATGGACAATGGACTGCTTTGGTAGTGATTTTTTTTTTTCTTGATTAGTAACCAACAGCACAGCTAACCAAAAAATTATGCATATGTGGGACCATGTGAAAGAGTTTGTGCCCAACAAAGGAAAACAATGAACACAATGAAAGAGCATAATAAGAATTATTTAAAAATTTGGGCACACACACAGTGGATAAGAGGTTATTTTTGAAAAGGCGCAAGCCAGTAATACTATCAGCTGGAAAAAAAAAAACTAAACAACAAAGATAACCAGACCAAAATTGGGCAAATAACCTGAATAAGTATTTGTGCAAAGACAGGAAACTGACCCAATGATTACAAAATCGTGGCTAGCATTACTACTCATGAGAAATACATAGATCGAAACCACACTCAGATCTTATCTCATTCCAACTAGAATGAACATTACAAAAATATTAAAAAAGACAACTTCTGGTATGAATTTCCAGAAAGGGGAACTGTTTGTGGAAATATAAATTAGTGTTAACACTATAAAAAAAACTTGGGAATCCTGAAAATAAAAAAAGAAAAAGAAATACCATGCCATCTAGAAGTCCCACTACTGAGTATACATTCAACCTACCTGTTCATCCAGATATAGAGACCAAGAAACTCTCGTATACATCAGGAGTATTCTTCGGCCAACAAAATAATGAAACAGCATCATTTAGAGCAACCCAGATGAACCTGCAAAACATTATGTTAAATGTAATGAACTAGGCCCAGGAAGACACACACTTCATGATACCACTCCTGTGAAATCTTAAGACGTTTAAGTAGAAAGCAAAATATTGGTAACGAGAGTCTGGGAGATGGAGGGGGAATAGGGATAGGTTATGGAAACAAAATTATCTTAACATTAAAGGACTAAATCTGAGTGTTCTCCTCAGCCTGGTGACTGGAGTTAACAATACTATATTTTTCCGAAAACCAAGAAGGGTGACTTTTGAATGTTCTCTCCACACAAAAATGATACCCGAATGAGGGAATAGAGATCCTAAGTACCCTGATTTGGTCATTAATCTATCTATACGTGTGAAAATGTACCCCTAATTATGGACCTTTATGTTGTGAAAAAAAGTTAACAGAAACAAATATGTATTGCTAAAAATCACAGGGAACCACAAAAGCAATGAATGTCTAAAGGAATCCTGAGAAATACAATCAAAGTGAGGACCCACAATCCTCAATACCAAATTACACTGCCAAGTGGGACTACACAAACCTGAAAAGTTTTTGCACAGGAAAGAAAACTACTTTCCAATTAAAAAAAAAATCCGATAGATTAGGCAAAACTTTCAGGCAATCATGTAATTCATGAGTTGTCATCTAACTTGTACACAAAAAACCACTACAAAGTAGCAAAAGAATCCAATATAGAACCTGAACAGACAATTCTGCAGACATAAAATTGAACAACAGATAAAAGATAAGGTCCTCAAAATAAACTATTCATTAGAAAATTGTAATTAAAAACCACACGCAGATAATGTCACAGTAATTGAATATTCCTGGAAAGTTTTTAAAAAATACAGGGGCCAGGCACAATGGCTCACACCTGTAATCCCAGCACTTTGGGAGGCCTGGTTGGGCAGATTACCTGAGGTCAGGAGTTTGAAACCAGCCTGACCAATATGGTGAAACCCCATCTCTACTAAAAATACAAAAATTAGCCGGTGTCATTGTAGTGGGTGCCTGTAGTCCCAGCTACTCAGGAATCTGAGACAGGAGAATTACTTGAACCCAGGAGGTGAAGGTTTCAGGGAGCCAACACTGCACCACTGCACTCCAGCCTGGGTGACAGAACGAGACTCGGTCTCTCCCCCAAAAAATAAAATAGAAATGCGGGGTGGTTTTAGAAAAAGGGGAATTCACACACTGTGGGTGCAAATGAAAATTAGGATACCCCAGCTCAGAGGCCCGTGGGGCTCGGAGGGACCCAGGTCCCGGGCTTCACCGTGGGCTCAGGGCCTGTGCCCTCCTAAATGCTGGATGCGAGTTGGACACGGGCATAGCCTTCCCGGTAGGTTTGCGGACGCTGCCACAGCCAGGATCCTACAACCGCCCCAACATGGACGACTGGAGCCTAAATGCCCACAAAGAAGTCAGGGCCGGAAAGGAGGGAGCAGCAGAGAAGGAGCAGGGAAAGTGTGGTACAGGTCCTCGCCACTTACCGCAGAGAACTGCCTCCTCCTCCACCATCACATGGAGGCCACCAACGGCTTCTCTGAAGAAGCTCGCTCCGCGCGCACTACCGCTGCTGCTGCCTCCGACCCCGCCGCCGCTTCTGCTCTCTCGGACGGTGCCGCCGCCGCTCCAGCCGGCCCTCGCAAGAAGTGCAGTCTCGGCTTCCGTAGTCGCACGCACGCT